CCCAGAGTCCCCCAGAGTCCCCCAAAGTCTGTAGAGTCCTCCAGAGTCCTATATAGTTCTACATAGTAGTCCTGCAGAGTCCTGCAGAGTCCTGCAGAGTCCCGTAGAGTCCTACAAACATCATCAGTGTCCTCAGCCAGTCAGAGGGCAGCAGGTCTCACTCTCCTCCATGTTTCAGGTGTGGGTGTTGGATTATTTTGGCGGGGTGAAGACCGTCACTCCGGAGGAATACTTCCAGGCAACGCCGCACAGGAAGCACCACTGACGGTCAGAGCCGCTGGGTAATGTAGTTCAACTTGTTCCGTTTGTAGTTCTATAATATGATAAATAAGTTGGTGCCACATTTCGGTACCTGGGAGAGAAAGTGATATCTTAATATATCTAAAAGCTGTAATGTTACCCTAGTTGAGTCTGAACTTGGTGTTTACTGTTTTCCCGCCAGGAGGACGGCGGCGTACGGCGGCGGCAGTGGCGGGGAACGATCAGCTGCAGGCTGTCGGTTTGAATCCTACTCTCTCTCTACTACAGTGAACGTGGAGCTGCTGATCATAAAGTTTAATTCATCAATAATCAATCAATAAACAATATTTCAGTTTGCTCGAATGAAACTTTAAACATTTAGAGACAAATATCTTTAATTTCCTCTCAGATTAATGGAAATAAATTAGAGTTCAAATATTCTAATGAAGGCACAGTATTTAACTACATAATCAATACCGCTGCGATCTGATCAGCTTTTGGTTTATATATAAAATATAAATGTGTGATAGTGTGAAATAATATCAGCAGTGTCATTGATAAGTTTGCCCACTGGAGGGAGCTGCTGAGTTTCTAATCAGACAGATGTGTCTGTAACTTCACTCAGCTATGATCAATAATATTAGTATTTTTTAACTTTCTCTCTTTTAAAGGTTAAAATCTAAATAAAAGAAGTGCCTTTGTACACTTTTATATATTTTCTATCACTGGAAATGCACTTTAATAAACACCAAACTCCATTCAATAAAAGTAAGATTTAAGGTTTAAGTTTGAGTGACTTTAAATATTACAGGAGCAGGTTAATATACAGGTTAATATACAGGTTAATATACAGATTAATTTAATTTAGTTTAAATTAAGATTATTGGCAGAAGCTTCTTTCTACTAAAACTACAAGAAACCCACAGGATCAATGTGTGTCATCACAACTACATCTCCCATGAGTCTCAGCTGTTAAACTGGGAGCTGTTGCAGAACTCACTCGAGGTCCACTTACGAGCTTTCAACAACATCTCTCTTTAGTAAGTGGACCTTGAGTTGAGTTTATTAAATACATGTTATACTTTTAATCAAATGATGAAGTGTTGACAGATTAAAGCTTTAGTTTCTTATTTAACTTCAAATATGGACAGAAAGGGCGGGGCTTATCCACTGCGGTGGGCGGGGCTTAGCCACTATTATTTTAATGTTTCTTGTTGCTGTGATACCTGATCAATGATAAGATTTATTTTTGACAAAATATATATGGATTATTTCTATAAATAAAGGTTTTTTTTAAATCAAAATGGCTGCACGTTTTCTGTTTTCTGATTAAGTGAAAACACTTTTTAACCCGTGTTGATAATATTTAATCAAACACTCACGACAATAATGTTTGTGTCCTTCAGGTTGAGATATTTCTGGGTATTTTCAAGTATTATTTGTATTTTCTTATTGTGACTGTTTGTAGAAAACCAAGTTAGCATTCTGAGTCATGATTGATTTTACATTTAATCTCCATTTTTAATAAAGTTGAAAACTAGCTGCTAATCTTTTTGTTTTGTACGACTCTGTACTGACAACATGCTAACATTCAGTCAGATTCAGTCACATTTAATGCCGTTCACCGGGCTTAAAGTCAGAATATTTCCATAAATATGGAGGAACAAATATATTTTGTGTTGCAGAACTGTTCAGGTTTATCTTCTGACCTCTTGGAGAGGTACTGACCCCCATGTTGGGAAACAGTGCATGGCTAATAACACCTTCTGTATTTTCATCACAAAGTTTCCTCAGAGCATTTTTCAGTCTGTACAACAGCTTTTATAAATAAAAAAACGACGTACAAAACCCCCAAAATAAATGAAACGGTAGTACAAAGCGAACCTTCCTCCCTCTCAAACCCGCAACTGAATTAGATTTGTGAGATTTTCTCTGCTGAAACATCAAAAAACGCCCAAACAGACGAAAACCTGATGTTTTTTTGCCATATATTTTGAAAGAGTGTGTTCATGTGTGGGAGAGAGACTCGTGTGCGATGTGTGTCACCTGGCACAGCAGCTCCTCACCACTTCCTGTTCCACTTAAAGACGAGAGAGGAAGACAGACGTTGGGGCTTCAGTCGTCTCCGTCCATCGCCACTGACTGAAAACCAGTTTTGAAGAAAAGAAAAAGGTGTCTTTGGGGAAACCAGTTCGGGATGGAGCTCCAGACGTGGATATCTGGCCTGCTGGTCCTCGCCTCTGTGTTTCCCCCGGCAGGTAAGACTCACCGGACACCCAAAGACACGAATAACGAAGGCTTTAATGCCCCGACTCCACCTCTGCCTCTACGTTAAAGCAGCTCTACTGCAAACTAAAATTATTCAAATTTTTTTAAGGTGTTATGTGCTTATATTTCATTAAAAACAAGGTTTCTTTTATCTTCAAAATGTTGATTTTACAGGTAAAAAGAGAAAAAAAAACAAATTTTAAAAATAATCCGAGAGGTTTCGAAGAGTTCAACGGACCCAAAAATGCTCAGATATGCTAAATATGTTGTTTTTTGTGTGTGTGAAAAAAGCTGAACCCCCAACATGTACGTGAAGACTTCCTGTGTGAACATTTGAACGCTTTCAGCAGCAAACGCGAAGAGAAAGCCGATTACAAGAAACAAAAAAAAAGAGGCTTCTTTGTGGCGGCCATGTTGGAGGGGTCCCGTTGTTTTTGTCCTCGTCTCAACTCAAATTCTCTACGTTGTTGTCAACAAAGATAAAACTAAACATCTTCTATCCATCAAATTGATTTTTTTGCGTTCAGAAAATATCAGCTAATTAAGCTAAGTGCAGCAGCTAATTGGCACAACATGGCAGATTAGCACACAAGCTAACAAACGGGGTAAAGTAGATGAACATCAACACAGAGACGAGAGAGAGACTCCAGATTGTTGTTGATGAAGAGGTCAAAGTTACTTGAGAGAGGAATAATATCCGACACCTTTACGACGTTTTTGTGCCATTGTTCTGAAAATATCGATCTATATCTATACATTAATATCATCTGTTTTATTTTTCAGTTAAATTACGATATAAAGTTGAAAGCTAGTTGCTAACTTTAACTCGACCTGCAAACACAAACATGTTTCAAATTGGATGCCATGTCAACAAAATATGGTCATTAAAATGTCTGTTTGGTTCTCTAATGTGGGTTTTTCTCACCAGCAGTTCCATTAAACCTGGCTGACAAGTTTGATATACTGTGAGTTTTCATGCAGCATTGTACCACCAAAACACCAGTTTACAACATCAATATTAGAGTGTTGAATACCAGTTTAGATTGCTAATAGACCAGTTCAAACCATTTAAAGTTTAGAACATTAAAGACCAGTATAGATTAGTAACATACCAGTTAGAACCATTGAATGTCTTGAGCATATAAAACCAGTTTAAACCACATAAAGTCTAAAGCATGAGATGCCAGTTTGAGGCCAGTTTAAACCCTAAAAACAGACCAGTAAGACCAGTTCAGTTTGTTTTCAGCAGTGAAATTAAATGTGGGACAAATACAGTTTATAAATCAGTAAGTAATTAAGTAAAATGGAGGTATGGAGAGTTTGTGACGACAAGATCGGCTCCATTTTAGAAACAGAAAACACTTTATGGTGGTTGAAGACGAAGCGCTCACACCCATCAACCTGCGTCCTGACAGAACTTCAGAATAAAACGAGGCTCGAGCCGACAGCGCAGTGCAATATTAATTTTTACACAGCGACACGTCACATTTCTCCTTCTGTGTTTATATCTTTAACATTCAGCGACAGATTAAGTGTTATTTGTGGCAGACGTATTTTAACACTTCCTTTTAATAACCGCTGTCAGCTCGGTAGAGGCATTACCTCACTTTAACAGACTTTATTAATAAAGCAGCAGATCCAAACAGTGATGGTACAGTATATATAATAATATAAATATATAAAATATAATGGAGGGATTCCTGACTGAGTATAGAGAGATATTAATTATTATTAGCAAGAAAAACTCATTTAATTATAACAGACTTCATTAAATTGACCCCTGAGAGACAACGCTACAGTGGACACGACTGAGATCCTCGTTAAATAACTTAAAATTAGTTCTTTGTATTCTTAAATGACAAAAATATGATGAAATATTATATAAATATAACACTTCTGTGTCTGTCAGCACAATAAAAACTTTAAAATGTGATTAAAAATAGTTAAACCAAGCATGTCTTCATTAAAAATGCTGTAAATTCAAACGCAAAGTTTGACTGAAAGTCATTTTTAAGAGATTTAACAGCGTCAGCTCTGGTGATTAAAGTATTTTTATGTACAGTTTACAGGATTTATGCATTAAAACAACATTTAAATTAAAGCAAACTCCATTTAAAAGACCCCTGAGTGACGACGCGTCACTGGACAGGACTGAGATCCTCGTTAAACACCTCCAAACATTAAATTAGGGTTTTCTTTGGACTGTTAAATAACAAAAAAATCACAGAATAAAGTAAAAAGAATCATAATTTAACATTTAACACGTTGAATTTTTAAATTATCATTGATAATAGTTAACCAAAACAGGTCTTTATTAAAAATGCTGCAAATTCAAACAGTTGTCAGCGCTTGTAATTAAATGAGTTTTATGTTCGTTTTACAGGGTTAATGCATTAAAATCACATTAAAATTAAAGCAAACATCATTAAATTGACCCCTGAGAGACGACGCTACAGTGGACACGACTGAGGTCCTTGTTAAACAACTTTAAATTAGGGTTTTATTTGTGTTCTTAAATGACAAAAATATGATGAAATTGTGTTTTTTAACACTTCTGTGTCCGATAGAACGTTAAAGACGTTAAGAACCTTAAAATATGATTAATAATAGTTAATATTAATAGTTCATTAAAAATGCTGCCAATTCAAACAGAAAAGGTAATCTGTAAGTCATTTTAAGTGATTTAATAGTGTCAGCTCTTGTAATTAAATGAGCTTTATGTACAGTTTACAGGGTTAATGCATTAAAATTTAATTTAAAATAAACCAAACAACATTAAATTGACCTCCGACCGGTGACGCTGCATTGGACACGGCTGAGATCCTCGTTAAACACTCCAGATTAGTGTCTTCTTTACATTGGTGAAGGGATGGAACGATGTCAGCGCTTGTAATAAAATAATTTTTATGTACGTTTTACAGGGTTAATACATAAAAACAGCATTAAATTAAAACAAACTGCATTAAATTGACCTCCGACCGGTGACGCTGCATTGGAAATGAGAGGAGAGAGGTCCTCTTAACACACCTGGAAACAGAGAACTTCAGCTTTTATATTCAGGTCAGGGTCATTTTAAAGGCAGCTTCCATTCTTGAAGGTCTGAATCTTATAAAATCATGTTTTAATTGAACACATTTCATATTTTATTTCAGAGATATTTGAATAAACCTCAACTGTGCAGCGTGTTTTACACCCTTACATGTAAAACAAATGCTGATATGAAGTTGAACAGACTGTAAATGTGAGCTGTAATAACTGCACTTCTGTTTTCTAACTATGTGAAGAAAATTAATCGACCACAAACAGTGAACCCCCCCCGCCTCCTGCAGTCCAGGAAGCAACTCTGTGGTTTCTAGGCTCTTAAAGCTGAACCCTCTTCCCCAAACTGAGCTCCATGCGGTGATGAAGCAACAGAAGCTGCGACCGAAAACAAACACAACGAACACACGCGTCAGTTTCAGTCCCCGTCACAGAAACACCCCTCAGACGGACCGGCCAAGCAAACCCACTGCGCTCAGGAGTCCGCGTTTCTCCTGTAAAGCAACATTTCTGCACATTCTTGGTGAAAATCCTTTAAAAACAGAGTTCGCGGTTGTTTCGCAGCCCCGACTGCCATCTTTGTTGAAAGATGGAGGGAACCGGTGAAATGAAAACAGACAGAAGAGGTGCAGAGAGATGGGTGGCAGGAAAAGAGAAACGGAGGTGAAGAGATGAAACGTACACATGCAGAGAGAGCGGTGAGGTGTCCTGGATTCTGTTTCAGGTGTTCAGGAACTCTCAAACTGACACTTTACTGTCTGTCGACCCATTTCACATTCTCTCATTCAGCTGGTTATTGTGACTCAGATCTCAATGTGCCCATCGAACTGCCTATATCTGAATATACAGTATACATATATTATTATTTAACTTTAAAAGATGGTTCTTTAAGATCTTGGCATGAAATGACTTTTTCCAGACTGCCTTCTGGTGAACTGCCGATAATCTTCTATATTCAGCAGTTTTGTTGCCAGATAACAGTTTTCTAGCCGACTGCAACCCAAAGATAAGATCCTGGATGATATCTGTGTTAGTGGGAACTCAGTGTTTGTAATGTAGTGACCTTAAATATAATAAGAGAATGAAATGATTATTACTGCATCATAGAAACATAAAAATACGTAACATAAAGACAGTTATAGTCTCAGTTCTGAGGATTAATCCAGCAGCCGTTTATAAATTCAACCTTAGCTTCACGCCAACGTCAGCGTTTACGACGTTTATCACTAAATTAAAACGAGTTCCTACATAGAGATCAGTTATTAATATTTACAGCCACTAACTGCCAGCTAACTGACAAAGCTAACGTTAGAATGCTATTATCGGACCTGTTTAGGGTAAAAGTTAGTATGGAGTAAATATCTGACCTGAAACTTGATAAAAGCTGTTTAATAGCGATTTAATCTAAAGATTTTAAATCACATTTTACTAAAATAAATAAATAAATCAAATAACAGACCTGAAATTACCAAACGTAAAGATTTGATTAAAAGAATAAAGAACACCAGTTAGCTTAGCATAATCATATATTTCATTATAAACTGTATGAATATTAAAAAACCCTGAAACAGATTTCTCCATATGCAAAGAGAAATAAAACTATATAGAAAAGATTTATCTTTTAGCCAAACTACGCTAGCTTGTGATGCTACAGTGACTTCCTGTTTACATAGCTGATTGCTCCTGATTGGACGGCGCTACAGAGGTTTCGTAGCAACAGATTTACTCATTATTAAAGTCTCTAGTAGCTGAAACATTTCTGAGGTTTTAACACAGTCCTGGTCAGGAATAACAGGCCAGTATCTGAATTATTTTGTTTTTTCATTACGCAGTTTGGACCATTTGAGGAGGTTGTTGGATGGATAAAACAAACCAAACGTCAACCAATTCTATTTATATTTAATGTATATTAACTTAAATTACGTTATTTACTTATTTGAATCCAAACTGT